CAAAAATTAATTTACTTTTCATCCATGAGAATATAATAACTAAAAGTTTAATAGAAAGTAATTGAAACCACAAGAATTTACAATATCTTACATTCTAAATAAGTGAGAAGAATTCATTAGGTACAATATAAAATTGACTACAATATTCACAGCATCAGCTACATACATATCTCGCGTCATGCAAACTGCGGTGTTCCTCGGAACACTTTACATATATGTATGTATATGGACGTTAATTATTATTGTGTTAATTAATGCAGTCCATAACTTTAGTAATTACCATTTGTGTACTTATTTTTAAAGAGAATAATGACACAATGGCGCGATTTGAACAAATGTAAATTGTCTAGTATGCCAAAAATGCCAAATGTATTATTGCCAATTATATTTATTTGACTAGGTAAATCTTTTAATTATACATTTTGGCGGTTGGTTATATTTAAAATAAATAACGGTAAATGGGGCTTAGAATATCTATTTTCATCAAGATTTGTCCCGATATTCATCGAAAATAGAAAACAAAATAAGCCAAGCAGGTGCGAGTCGTCCCCTAACCAATTACCAAGTGAAGCGGGTTTAAGCCCGAGTCTCACATCTGAATATTTTTCTGTGCAAATTTTATTCTCAACATGATTACCACTTGCTAATACGATGAAGGAAAATATCGTAACGGAACCTGCGCGTGTGAGGCGACCCAGCTGTTTTCGAAAGATGTATGAAATCTGCTAATCCAGGTGGGATGAAGGCCCATACCCAACTGGCTGAATTATTATATATTATAAAAAAAATTATAGAGACAAGTATTAATATTTTCCTAACATAAATATTTGTCCCGAGCGGAATTTGAATCTACGTCCTTCGGCATACAGGACGCTTCCTAAAGTCTTTATTTGGGCGGACGTCAAAGCTCCATTAGTATATGTAATGATTATATAGCAAAAGCTCCAGATCTCATTAAAAAAAATATCTTAGTCTATATTAATATCTGGATATAGTCAAAATAAAAGCAACTCGCTTAGAATTCGAATTGTACAAAGCTAAAATGGACGACAAGAGATACAGAGATTAACATTCATCTTAAAGTTTAAGACAATATTAAATACAGTATGTAGTTTCATTAAGTTTTACAATTATATACTATTGATAATAACTATACAATTGAAATCACCCGCGATTTAATCTGCAAAGTATATTTATATTGTTGGACTTTTTAATTTCGCTATAATCTTTTATATCCATAACGTTGTGTACTTTTTCGCTTCAGTGTTCACTTTTTACTTTATATTTGTTTTCCGCTGGTCACATTACCTGTAAATCTTTGCTTGCTCAGTAATATTGTTATAAATGAAAAAGTATGTTTGTTAGTTTGTGGACGTAATTTCTACCAACTTCAAGAAAATGGAGGTACTCAATTCGTTTGTGTTTCTTATGTATCTGAAAAATGGTATTAATTAAAAAATAATAATTAGTAGTTTAAATATCTTAGAATTCAGTATACCTTGTTTGTTTAAACGTAATTATTTTGTATAGAAATAGTTTTTAGACCTGAATATGCTATTGGATGTTATAATACTTGTAAATTATGTAAGAAACTCATAATATTATGTAACTAAAATAAAAAATATCAGTCAAATGTATTATTGATCCCTAATATACAGGTACGGAGCAAATTACGATTTTATTTATCTACACAATGAAATAAAGTATAACGCTTTCGGAAGTAAAGCCAATAACAACAAAGCATCGAAGCAGCAAGTATAAATTACAATTAAAAATGAACCTTATTAACTGTTTCGCGATAAATTAAGCACAAAAGTTAATTAAGGGAACGACCGTGATGGGACTTCTTCCCAAAATGGCGTGAGAACACAATTTACATTCATAAATATAGACCTTTCATGGTTGTTCGTGTATTTATTTGTTTAATGTTTTAGAAGCTAAAGTTATATTAGAATATATTGATTCTGATATCTATATTACGAGTATGTTGAACTAACATAATGTGTCTAATTTAAACTAATTAAAACCTTAAACTCACTCACCGACTGATGACAGAAAACGCAGTCTAAAAGCACGGCATTTTGCAGAAGATTTATTTATATATCGAGGGTCAGCACTGAAAAAGGATTTTTTAAATTCATCCTCTAAAAAGGTTAAATAGGAGATGAAAGCTTGTATGGATATTCGTCATTTTTGAAGTCAAAATTAAAGTTTATGCTTCTATTGAGTTATCATATCGAACCCACTGCTTGTAATATAGAGGGGTAAAATATAAAATAATTATTTTCTAAGCTAAATGTACCTATATATTGTTTTTTTTAATTATTTCTGTCTATCATTCGCAAGCTAACTGAAAGTTACAATTAAAAATAATACTTAAAAGCCTAATTTGCATATATTAATATTAAAAATTTCAACTTTCTATATCAAACATACGTACTCGTACCGAACGTACGTGTGTGGGGGCCACGTTTCTTTGTTGGACCCATTTTTACATACGCGTATAAATTAGGCAGAAAAGTTAATTAACAGAACCAGTGTGATGTTTCAACGAATGCAGATAATATTTACATACATTTTCCTTTTGTTTTGTTCATTTGTTCCAACATATGGCGTAATTTAGACACACAATATATTTTATTATATTATAATTTTATTTTAATATTATGTTTCTCTCTTTATAGCTGTATAATACGTACGAGTATGTCCATAATCACGCTTCATATAGAGATTTCATGTTGTAAAGAGGATTTAGAAGGTTTATTCCATAAGAAATTCACTAATACTGTGACGAATTTGAAAAATGTGTTTGGTTATTCTTTCTTTTTAACGCAGTGATAGAGCAAAGAATAAAAGCAACTTTTTAAATAAATTTATTTAGGTTTTCCCCCGTCGTTTCAAATGCTTTATATCGGGAGCCAAAAAATTAAATAAATCCACGAAAAAATCAGAAAAGATAGTTTTATTTAAAATGACAATTATTCTCGTAAATCTAAGAAAGTATTAACAGAGGTTACTTTTGACGTAGAGATATCTTATAAGCCGTAGAATGATAATGATCATCTCGGTATCTCAAGCTAGTCCCGTGAGACATTATTTCGTGAAAAGAAAATACTTAGTAACACTATTATTATGATTTATATCCAAAAATGGAAAAGTACCGGTTAAAAGCTAAAATTTCTATTATACCCTCATCCGGCAAATCATAATGTTTCATAGTCCTTTGTTTTTCTGGTTGGCACTGAAATATGGTAACCGCTAATTAGACTCGCCTTAATTGAGGTTGTTTCACAAATTTACATATTTTTCATGTTATATATCAACTGGATTGTGATTTTTGGGCGCAGTGGCTCAGTGTTCATGATACATGTAGCTACGAACTGGTCAATAAGTCTATTCTTGCCCAGAGTAAATATTTTTGTGGGATATATAATTATTGAATAACTAAGCATAATATAAATCTTCACTTTGTATATTTTGCGGGAATCAGAAATAATAAGATTTTGAGTATCGTTCATTTTAGTAATAAATTGAACATACGTTTTGGCTAATTTCTTTAAATAGAATACTGTTTCTAACGTGAGACCAGATTTTTCGACTGATAAATCGATATTTTTGCGGAATTCATTATTTTTAAGAGAAGAAGCCAAAGGGCTACATCTAGGCTGAAATATTGCTAATAAAAGCGCGTCGCGCACTATTAATTCTCATAGAGATAAAATTAACGAGCCCCGAATCCTTCCGCCGCCGCGCGTCACGCGCTTGTTCGTGTTATGTTTGGAAATAGTCATCTTTATTAATATTTTTATGGATTTTGTCATTAATAAGCTATTTTACCTTTAGCTTTGGTTATATTAAACTATATAACTGATACTATATATATTATATTCATATATATAGCAACTTAAGTAACATTACATGGTAACCTATAATAGTGTAGATAGTATTAAGATAGTTTTAGTTTGTTCTAGTATAGTATTTCCAAATATTTATTACAGTCTGTTTCATGTGAGAGAGAGAACTTCATGAAACTTTTAATACTGCTTGAATAATATTAATAAGTATAACTCAATAATTTCATTAATTTTCAACCGACTTCAAAAAGGAGGAGGTTCTCAATTCGACTGTATGTTTTTTTTTTTTTTATGTTTGTTACCTCAGAACTCCGTCATTTATTAACCGATTTGGAAATTTTTTGTTTTGTTTGAAAGGGTATACTTCCAGATTGGTCCCATTTAAATTTCAAAAAAAAATACCACCCCTAAGGGTGGAAAAACAACTAATGATGAATTTAACCTACTTCTAACTGTCATATTGACTTGAAACTTTGCAAGTGTTTCTATTTCCGTTGATAGTACAGTGGTTCGGTGTTGTTGACCTGATCTGATGGCAAGGCCATAAGGTGGAAAGGTGGAACTCTTCAACGGCTAATAGTAGATACTTTGAGTTTGGGCTTATTTTGTTTGATTTGACAAGCCTAACACGTTAGAATTCTTACTGTGCTACTACTGTCTACACTAAAAAGGGAAAAATAAAAACTTTTTAACAAAAAAAATAAAAACCGACTTCAAACAAAAGCACTAAAAAGTAAAAAATAACTGATTGGTAGATTTCATTTACTATACATACCTAATCAAATATTTTCGAAGTCGGTGTGCTTTGGCTAAGTAATTAAAGCCTACCTATTAAATACATACCTAATCAAATATTTTCGAAATCGGTGCCAGCCCATACAAAGCAAAGCACACCGACTTCGAAAATATTTGATTAGGTATGTATAGTAAATGAAAACTACCAATCAGTTATTTTTTACTTTTTAGTGCTTTTGTTTGAAGTCGGTTTTTATTTTTTTTGTTAAAAAGTTTTTATAAGTGGTAATTTGAATTTATAGTACCTATATATCTACTTACATTAAACAAACTATTACACAAAAGGTTTGCTTTCTTCCTATCGACAAAATAATCAAAAGCCTTGTTCCATTCAACCATTTATATTCATTAAGAGTGAAACTGTGCGCATTCATTGTTTTCTTGACGCGTGTGAATAATTGCAAGACTGATTAATGAAGCGGACGTGCCTTCGTACCGCAGTGTTACAGTGTAGCATTGTAGCGGTGCGAGCCGTGTGCCAAATACATACTTAATTCTTTTAGATTGCTTGTATTTATCTAACATAGACAATATTATTATGTTAACTCTATAAAGAAAAGGCTCAAATAGAAAAAAAATACATAGAACATAGTTATGTAGTCGGAAACAAACATACACTTTATATACTTGCTGAGAGTTTTGCTACGTATCCGTGTAATGAGTGTATGCAAATCTTACAAAACTATTGACTGAAACTATGTGATGTAAATGTTCGTATGATGTAAATATATAGTTTCACAATGTGAAAAAATGTTATAAATGCATAAGTCAAGGCTACAATCATAATGGAGAACGCCTCAATTTCAGGTAGAATTAGCGGAAGAAACTCAGCGGGATTGACAGGACAGTCCTTTTCATTAATACTTTTTACCTAACCTATACCTATATAAAAAATTGTAACTAAGCCGAATCAAAACATTAAATATTTTTTGGAAAATCTTATTGAAATAAACATCGATACAGAGGCCGAATCTATAGTTTTTAGAATTTTTGTCTGTCTGTCTGTTTGTCTGTTACCGCATCACAGAAAAACCACTGGAGAGGTTTTGATGAAATTTGGTATGGTGATAGCTGGTTATCAGGGTTAACATATAGGATACTTTTTACAGCGGGAAAATATCTCATTTTTGAGAAAAAATACTAAAACTGCAATGTAAGACTATATTAATATGTAAAACCGAAGAATTTGGTTTATGTTCTTCTGAACGCTGGCGGAGTCGCGGGCAATGCTAGTATTGAATACTTACCTGGAGGCGATCACATCATTCGCAAGATGTGTTCTCTTCTGAAAAATATTTCATTGTATAATAAGCCAATTACACAAAACGTTCATATTTTTTTTATCTAGCAATAGGTAGTAGAGTATACTGGCAGTTCTATATAATAATAATATAGCTTTATTTATTGCATGGATTTACAGGCTTATGATATTTATGTTAGGTTATTTTTTTAAATATTTACTTAACGAACCCTTCTGGGTAAAAGCCTCCTCTAATCCCTCACATTTCTCTTTACTTTTAGTATATCCATCTAGTGTTTTCCTACCACTTCCAGTGCCGAACGTTTCTGTGCTCTCCCGTTTCTTCTCTTTCCTATTGGCCCTTTCCTCTTCGTATATTGTGTCCATCTTTCGTCCCTGAATCTGATGATGTGGCCTGCCCACCTCTATTTAAGACTTAAAGCATGACTTGAGCATCTATAATCTTAGTTTTTTTCCGGATTATTTCACTCTTGATTTGTTGTATTTTTCTCAGTTTCAACACTAAAAGTCTTATGAGTCCATTAATTAGGTATTATACCTATATAAAACAAGTTATTTTTAATTTTTAAAACTTAATTACTATTGTTCTCTAGAAGACTTTTCAATTTGTTTGGCTTTCTAGCGCCACGGTAACAAGTACACTGCATTTTAAAGATTCTTCTAAACATACATATTTTGTACAAATATTTGTCTATTCTCTTTGTTACGTTTTTTGTAAGTTTGTTACACTCCTCCTTCGTCTCTATTTTTTACTTGCTGCATCTATTCATATTCGGTTATCACCCCCGACACCCTTTGTATTTTATTTATTATATTATAATAATGGAAAAGTATATTTGATGATTTATCCTTCTTCCAAGCAACGGGTTTAAGTGGTTTTTTTTGTATAAAGATAATATTTTATAAGCTACTATTCAACCCAGTATATCAAGCGGCTCCCGTAGGGGTAGACGTCTGTGACTTGAGGGAAATATGTTATATAATACAGAAATAGTATTTGAAATTCATCAAACAGTATTCACGAGAGACATTTCAGCTCTAACAGATTGATATTAAATATTATAAAAAATATTATTTTCGTTTTTACTCATTTTTTTTAATAATAAAATGTGTTAATATTTTCATTAATTCATATATTAAGAGTAATTGTATAGATATAAAGAAAACATTCCCATGGTGTTTTAAAAGCAGGTATAGTTCGTAGCCATTAAAGCACTTGGTGTCTTACTTTACGCCTGTTTTGGGAAACACATTCTAAAAGGCATTTTCGGGACTTGGCTTTTACCTCAAGAGAACTTAGTGCTTTCTGGCATGAAAGCTTTTTCTATAATTATATATAAACATTAAACACAATTTTGTTTTACATAATATTATCATATAGATCGTTGTTATAAAATAATAGCAGCCTGCCCTAGATTCGCGAGACCTCTTTTAATTTGATATCGAAAAGATATTGTTCCCATGCAAACTTGGAAAAGTTTAAACCCTTCAAACGTTGAATCAGAAAATATATTTTCTTAGTATTTATCAGCTATAATAGTAATATTATTCTGTTTAATGAATCAGTTTTATGTTTTAATGAATCAGTCATGGGTTTTTTTAAGGTTAAAAAATATACTGTTTTTCTTTTCATTTTCACTTTTTAGTCCTTATTCTTAAAATAAATTTATATTATGTTTTTGAATTTCCATTAAAACCTAATAAATTGTTGTGAATTAAATCTAATGTACCGCAAATGTACTATTTCTGTGTACCTACATTTCGAGGTCACTTTATTTCAGTCATTGTGTACTAAGTAGCACCTTTGACTATTTTACTCACGTAAATATATCTACTCGTATATGTACTGAAGGTATATAAAACCTACAATTCTCTTTGGTACAAAACATCTGTATTTTGCATTTCTAAACACAAATACCTAAACTCGTCCAAAATCTAACGCAATGATCGCGCACATCGCCATCGAGTTTGGTGTTTGTACATTCGACATAGCATTCAATGCGATTAATCGTAAAACGTGCCTTATCGGAATATTCAATCTGGAGCACGACTACAAGTCCTTTCTGTTCAGGGGTTTGAAATTACATTTGTTTCGACTACAAACGCTGGGTCTATTTTAAAATGACTTGTTTTAGGTAGAGCTTTTATTTGGTCTATAATATGTACTATAACCTTTTTTTGTTATTTATTACAATGTCGTTCTTAGTAGCAAATAGATTTCAGCCTTATAACATCTCTTTACTGAATCGGGCACGGTTCATCACGTTGGCAACATACGATTTTGCTTAATTCACACAATACTCGTTCTTCACATAGTTAGATTCTCGGAAACATGTAAGTTCCTTCGTGATGTTTTGCTTCATGTATTAGTAAGTAATTGCGTTGAATATGAGATTCGCTTGTGTTGATCTGAAAAATCTCAAACTTTGAATACACCTTATCTTTCTAAAGCAAGCTCGTAGAGTACTTACGTACGTACATGGCTGCCAATGCTGCGTTTAGCATCATAATAATAACATATTCTATGAAATATTGAAACTGCTGTACATCAGCGTTTCAAAACATAGAGTCCTTTAAAAGCCAGACAGAGGGTGACTTTACTTTAGTCATAGCGTTTTATAATTTTATAATTGTTTATTATGTTATAATATATAGTATCAATTATAGTAGTAAGTATAGTATTAAGTATAGTATTAATTATAGTAGTAAGTTTTCGAAAGACATGTGAAGTCCGCCAACCCGCACTTGGCCAGCGTGGTGGATTATGGCCTGATTCCCCTCGTACTGAAGGGAGGCCCATCTCCGGCAGTGGGACGTTAAAAAGGGCTGAATACATACCATGGCAACATGGCAATGTATTCTATCTCATTCTCTCGCTGGCTTGATCGTATATATTTATTTATTATGTGTTTGTCTCTTTTCAGTGTTACATTTCCTTTTCATCGAGTTTCAAATTACAACGATTCTAAAGAAGTTTCACTTCAATAATTTCACTACACAATTTCGATTACAATCCATACTAATATTATAAATTTGAAAGAGTGTTTGTTTGTTTGTCCTTATTTCACGTCGAAACGGAGTAACAGATTGGCATGATTTATTGTGTGGAGATAATTGGCGGGCGGAAGAGAAACATAGGCTACTTTTTACCGCGGGAGATTATCTAATTCCCAAGGGAAAACACGTTATGATACAATCCAAAAAAATGTTTATGATCAGAATTACTTGAAACTTTGTATTAATGATCTTCATTAAAATTAAATAAATACGTGTTTTACCATTTTTCGAAATTCATTCTATTAGGGGGTAAAATAGGGGATGAACGTTTGTATGAAACTACCATTTTAGAGATTTTTTGTAGTTTTAGCGCGAGCAAAACCACGGGTTCTGCTAGTATAGTATAATTATGCTATACTGTAATCTACAATAAAAGCGCCCAAGAGTTGAACGCTATATTTAGGTATGTATGTATGTATGTATAAAACCTGAAATGTGGGGAGCTTTACGCCCGATCTTAAAAGTAAATAACTTAACAGATCATGAATTTTCTTCATTGCTTTTATTTGGAGTAGTAGTAGTAGTCTCTTGCCAAACTTTCGAAGGTGAATCAACATTCAGATCTGGTTGTAAACCCAAAAGCGTCGCCAAAAAACTATACATATATATTAATGTATTTTAAGTCGATGTTTCAATAAAATATATTATATTGTAATACTTATTACATATTGTAAATATTACAATAGATTTTTGTGCAAAAAATATCTTGAAACTTACTTTTCAAATCAAAATGTTATAAAAAAATATTTATCTATTTTTTTTAAAAAATCTCTATTATCTATATTTTTAACTGCATCATTGTTTTAATGGCTAGTAGGTGCGGCTCGAACTCGCGAACTATGGCACAACAAGTAGGTTCACTACAAATTAAGCCAAACGTGTCGTCAAAGAAGACTTTGATGTAAAGATATACAAGAAATTACAGCACTATGTCGAGAATGGCAAAATAACTAAAACATTCGTCATATTATTTGAAATATTAATATGGATATGCAAGCAAGTATTTTACAGGACCCGGTCTGATTATATATATAGATAAATTAACATAAACAGACTGGACCGTAAAAAAATGTATGTATATCTTTACAACATAGTTTTTTACGTATATACTCGTACTACGAATTGACAAAATCTTTGAAAATTCTTTCTATACCGATATCTTTATTTCAGTCACGTCCTTCCAAAGAGCATATAGGGCCATACAATCCGACGAGGACGGTCGTAGGAATCAGTCAACAGAAACCTGAATGTTCTACAGCGCATTCCGCAAACTGCGTATTTTCGTCACATGACTTGATTTCCCAACGTCTTATTAAGATAAAAATTATCTTACTAACTTTTGAAAATATTAGATCTTCAAATATTTAAGATATTGTATAGTAAAGGTATTCACTACATCTTCAAATCAATTATGTTTTATCTATATACATTTAATCTATACTAGCTACTTACCCTCGCTTTGCTCGGGTTCCTCCCTAGTAAAACACAAAAACAAATCTATCCTACGGGAACCCGTACATTTTTGCCGGGATAAAAAGTAACCTATATGCTTTTCCAAAGTATAATCTATCTCTTTGCCAAATTTCATCCAGATCCGTTCAGCCGTTCTGGCGTGAAAGAGTAACAAACATCCATACATACTCACAAACTTTAACATTTATAATATTAATACAGATTAATGGGATAAATAAAGAATTATATAGAATATTGCTGCTCTAAATTATCCTGTACGGAAATTAATGAAAAAACTCCTTTAATAATATAACTAGTGACTCATCGGTTCAGTAGATCCAGAGATTACCCCCTACAACGTTACAAACTCACAAACTTTACCTCTTTATAATATGAGTATAAATAAATTTCGTATAAAGAATTACAATTCACATCCTGCACCTCGCAGGGAGGGAACTTAAAGCCATTAGTTCTGCAATATAATCTCTCTTCATTAATAGTGTCAGACTCGTCTGATCCGCTAATATCTTTGACATGTCCTCGTCACCCTTACCTAGTCTAATTAGAGGTATATCCATAATCAAAAATTGTCTATAAAAGTAATTTTTATTAAATATTCAAAAACTTGTGTTTTATAAAATTTGACTACTCGAAACTATTTTCACCAAAAATCCGCTTACTCTCAAGAAATTAAATACACCATTGTTTTCAGCATCATTGTAACTTTAAAACGTTAAAACTTAAGTACCCTTCGTAGAGTGAGTAACTACAAGCTAACATATTAAACTAAGGATAAACAGTGTTTTCTTAGTAGAATTAACTTGAATTTTGCTTACTAGATATCTTTCTTCTAAAAA